AGGTCATCCAATGAATTGTAATTGTCATTTCCGAATCTTGTGTATAAAAATGAGAAGTTATGTTAGACCAATTCCAACTTCCAATTGTCATACTGAGCGCCTCATCTATGGAATTAACATCAAGGAAATCTGATCACTAATCATATTAAGATCTGAATTCTACAAGGATGTATTCTCATAATTTTGGCAGATCACTAAGGGCTAACTTATTTAAAAGCTACCATAAAGCTGGGCTTAGACTAGGCTTGAAAAGTTGAGCCTGGTTCAACATTTTCAATTCAAGTGAGTTGATCAAGTCAGGTGAATGGCATGGTTAACACGTTCAATTCGCGTTCAAGTCAGTTGAATTCAACTGTCTTGATCAATTGACTTGCCCTGTCTAAACCCAGCTTTAATGGAATATCCCGTATAATAATTCTTTGGACCATATATATTAAACAAGATGGCTTTCAACCACATGGTCTTATTTTACTGGAAGTATAAGCATCATATGATTACGTAGTCCTGCGGATTACATTGTGATTACAAATTGTGATTTCAAATTTTGATTACAAATTTACCATAAAATTACATACCATATGCGTGAAAATGTTTGCACCATCGTTCAAATAAGGTTCCCGTTTCACCAGTGCATACTAGAGTCGGTGTATAATGAGTCACGCCAAGAGAAAAACAGTTGAACTCGCATCACGGTTTTCGAAAGATTCTCATTCTTTTCACTTGGCAACAGAGGACTTCTACAACAACTTCAAATGACTTCTAGCGAGAGAAAATATATTGCGGCTGTAGTAAATCATTATATCAGTGATTTTGTCAAATTATCTTAACAAAAAATAGTAGAAATTCTCATTACTAATCATTACAGAGCGTATTCCATGACAATTTAACGCTCACTGCTTGTTTATGCTCATTTCTTCGATTATATTTCATATTTTATTGCAATACCTTTCGTGGATCTTTCATAGCATCGTAATGTTTATTTACTTTGCACGATAGGTAGCCGTTTTGACAGTTCAATAGGTAGACTTGGCTTCACTCTTGGCGTGACTCATTATACACCGACTCTAGTGCATACAATGCCTTGGTTTTCTTTGCACGTTACCTATAGCTCATACCGTAGTAGGTTGTGTATAAAAGAAAATGATTTACTTAGTTTGACAGTTGCACCATGATGAAGTGGCAGCGTATTCGTGATTTGTACCACGCGCAAATGTCGCAAAAATACATTTCAATCGCCGTGGGAGTGTCCCGGTGGACCGTCAAAAGGGTTTTAGACCGAGAAAAGAAAGGACAACTATCTGCAAAGGTGGCCACAGGTCGTCCGAGGGTAATCGCTGCTATCAAAAGGAAGATTCGGGTGAATCCAGTGCGTTCAATAAGGAAAATGGCAAAGGAACACGGGATCAGTGCCTTTACGGCACGGAAGATCGTAAAGGAAGATTGCGGGGCGAAGTCAAAGGCACGGAAAAAAAACTCACATGATTACCCACCGCATCCGGGAGCTACGAGTCGAACGATGCACGAAAATCTTGAACTTCCTTAAGCGAAACAAGTTGGAAGGGTTGTATACTAGATACGACCGCAGGGTTGGCGTTGGATAACGTCTGTTATGTGTTGTACTTAATTGTGTATATTATATTTTAGGAATATTCCTTAATAACTCTTTTGCGATATCTTTCCCCAAAGCGCGTTCGGACAACGCAGGCCTTTGCATTAATTTCTTCTCTCGATTCCGGAAGTGCACGACGTATCTGGAACTACCACACCAAAATGTATGCAGAATATTGTCGGTACTGGATTAGTAGCGGTAACAAGACCGGAAATTCTCTTAACTCCACAACGACGAGCCAAACGACGGATTGCAGGTTTAGTGATGCCCTGGATGTTGTCACGCAACACTTTTCGGTGACGCTTGGCTCCTCCTTTGCCAAGTCCTTTTCCACCCTTGCCGCGTCCAGTCATTTTCTAGTATGATAATTGTAACGTCGATGAAGGTTGAAACGAAAGTGAACATAAATTCCAAATTTTAGCTGTTTTATACCTACTCGAGGGTTAAATTCTTTTTGTTAGTTGTTGTGTTCTTGTTCTTTCATCGTTTCTGATAGGTTGAACACAGAAAACGCATGTTATAAAACAGAATGGAAGTAATTTTTATTTTTTATTCCACAGTGTGCTTTCATTGAATACACATCACAACCAACAAAATGGCTCAGCGACCGCTCGCAAGTCCCCTGGAGGAAAGGCTCCTCGCAAGCAGTTGGCAATGAAGGCCGCTCGCAAGAGCGCTCCAGCCACCGGAGGAGTAGCTACCGGCCAGGCACCGTCGCCTTGCGTGAGATCCGTCGCTATCAGAAATCCACCGAACTGCTGGTCCGAAAGTTGCCTTTCAAACGTCTGGTCAGTGAAATTGCCCAGGACTTCAAGACCGATCTGCGCTTCCAGAGCTCAGCTGTTATGGCTCTCCAGGAAGCTAGCGAGGCCTATCTGGTCGGTCTCTTCGAGGATACCAATCTGTGTGCCATCCACGCCAAGCGGGTCACTATCATGCCGAAGGACATCCAGCTGGCTCGTCGTATTCGTGGAGAACGCGCTTAATTACCCCGCCTAAATCTTAACAAAACCGGCCCTTTTCAGGGCCACCACAATAATTCAAAAGAGTTGAAGTGACCTTTAAAATTTAAAATCGTTCGTTCCGTTCTTGTCTAGATTAAGTAACGAAGTAGAACGTGTGCGGGGGTTTGTTTTCGAGATTTTGTAAACAAACACAGCCGGGTCTGGTATATGATTTGGAAATGAATTTCACTTTATTTTCATATCAAAGTGAAAAGGTCTTTGCCCAATCCACTAGAAAATAACATATGGTACTTTCTAAGTAAATTTTATTATGTTTTCAAGATTCTCGTTGTTAAGAATTTTAAAATTATTTTTCGAGGTAAAATATGGCTCTGCGAAAATTCAACTTACGAAAATTAATCGTTAAACTCTTTCTTGATAATGTTGTGGCCCTGAAAAGGGCCATTTTTCCAACGCGCTCGGCGTAGTTGCCCTTGCGGAGCAGACGGTGAATACGACCGACTGAGAACTGCAGCAGCTGGGCATTCCATGACAGCGGCCCAGTATACCGAAGCACTGGCACCAACGCACTCGGCGTAGTTACCCTTTCGCCCCCAGGCTCTGCTGCCGCTGCTCTGCTGCCGCTGCTCTGCTGCCGTTGCTCTGCTTCCGCTGCTCTGGTACTGCTGCTCTGCTGCTCTGCTGCCCTGCTGCTGGGTCGACGATCGGATAGACAATGATGGAACGGGCGACCTTGTTGGACGCTTATATAGTAGTACAGAAAATATCAGAGGTGTCAGATACTCGCATGTCTCGGTTCGAGAAAGTATAAGAATATAAAAAAATCAATCGATTTTCACCATCTTTAGACAATGGTTTACTTTTAACCATGTTTCAATAGTTTACAGAATGAAATCAATAGTTTTGAAACATTCAGCAAATTGCTAGAAAGATTTCCAATCGATTGATGCCTTTATTTCGTAAATCTATCGAGAGACGGTTGAGTTATTATCGTTCAAAATCTTTTAATTTTTCGTAACGCATCCAAAATGACTGTTTTCAATTTTGTACCGCCGTATGTTGCCGAAAGACGTTATCCAACGTCAAAATCCGGTACTCCTGTTCACCGACGAGAGCATGATTACCGTCGATCCCGTATCAAATTCCAGAATCGACCGGTATATTAGTTCTCTTCCGGTAAAAGACATGGCCGACGAGCACAAGAACGTGTATCTGACCAAGCATCCTGCTAGCATTATGGTGCTTGGATTGGTGGCTTTCGATGGCAAAAAAATGGACCCGGTGTTCATTCCAGAAGGCGACAAGGTCAACATGGAGGTCTACATCGGGATTTTAAGTAAGTATGTTCTTCCGTGGATCAAAGAACAGTACGGTCCAAAGCCAAATGTTGTATTTCAACAAGATGGGGCTCCGTGCCACACCTCGAACCGCATTCAGAAGTGGTTGCAGGAACATCTTCCGTTCTGGGCGAAGGATATGTGGCCGCCATTCAGCCCCGTCATGAAGGCCAAGGCCTGTTCTAAACGCCACCCGAGTACAGCAAGCCTCAGACAAACATTGACGTGTACCTGGAAAGTAACGCATAGCCATAACGGGTACATTAACCTTAAATTCCACTCTCATTTGACTGACATTTGCTCATATATGAGTGAAATTTACCCATATTTGAGCAACTATTTACGCAGTTTATGAGTGACCTACGATTTTGCGAATTCGAGTAAACGGAACTCAAATAAGACTAAGATTCATCAGCCGTGTATATACCATTTCGTCCCTTGAAACATCGTTAAATGAAATTGATTCAACAAACTTAACTCTTCCTGAAACAACACCTTCGGCTGATGTGACAGCCCGTTCCCCTGACAATCAGAAAGTTCAAAACCAAACACTTCCCGAAAACTTCCTCCTACAACTTTTGAATTGATGTGGCCCTAATAAGTCACACTACGGTGTGCAGCAATCTTTGCTGCTCGAACAACGGACCTAAGAAAATCACACTGCAGTAGTCGGTCAATGCAAAATAGGTAGGACCATTCATCTGTTCGATGCAGGAGCATCGGCATCAGGAAGGCAGGAAGCTTAACGTCAAAAACCAATAAAGCAAAGTTTGAACTTGCTTCTGCTAGGTAGGTACGATTTGATAGGGGTGAATTTAAATATAAATTGATTTTGTCACTCAACTAGCCTGCAGTGGACTTGATCCCAGGCTGAGACGAAAGTTTTCGAAGACTAACCACCGCACAGAGGTTTCAAACTCGGTATGAGCGTTTGTCCTGGATTGTTCAAAGCTTGGCTTTTGATTAACTTTCGTATAGAGAGAACTGTCGACAAGTGCGATCAGTGGATGGGAAGTTTTCCGAAACAATTTAAGTTGTTATGCACAACTTTTCGACACGAGAATTAAATTTGTCTTGTTTTCTTTCCAGATAGATGAAATAACCGAACTGGAACCGACTTCCATGGTATTGCGATACTGTAAAGGAAAGGTAAGTTTTTTTTTCTATTAGACGTGAAAAGCCATGTTGACAACACACCAAAGCAAGAACAATGCGTGTCAATCTAGTCGAAAATGTAGTGCGTTTTTATTTCTCTCATCTCCATTTATAATTGGCATTCAAGGCGAAGTGAACCACCAAAAAACATGTCTTCTAGTACGTTTTGATCTCATCATTAAAAAGCTTGGATATTTCTAGAAATATAAAGAACAATTATGGGGCGGAAAGCTTCCAGATTTGCAAAATTTTAATGGAATCGAGTTCAAAGATTTCAATTCATACTCAATATGATCGCCAATCGGCTTGCTATTGAATGCAAATGTGATTTGATGTGTTGCATGATGAGGTTGATTTATTTACTTAGAATAATATTTTCATTTGACCAGGCTCAAAAGTTCATATATGTTCACAAAACATCCTAAACTTTACCTATATTAGCTCTTTCTCAAATGGTTGCAAAACCTCCAAGTCTTTTCGCATCAACAGGACAGTTCATTCCAATCCATTCCATATGTTAATGTACATGATTAGAAAGCAAAGTATATATAGACCAAAACTAAATTATCAACATGAAAAGTAAAATGTTTGGTCAGCTTATATCAATTGAACAGCTCGCCAATTTGGCCAATTGAACGCACAACGAATCATTGAGGCGTTGTATTGTCGTTGCAGATGAAAACTGGAAAACCACACTACCCGAGCAGGAGAAAATAACTTATGAATACATAATTATGACCTGATACCAACATTTGATGTTGATCAGCCCGACATAAGTGGCAACATACCAAAGAATAATACCAAATATTGCATGCAAAATACTTTGTAAACAATAAAAATTTATATTTGGATACCAAAAGAATACCTGAGTAACATTGTGTTGGTATTGCATTATCATAATTTGGTATTGGAATAGTATTGTGGGAATTTTTTTTTTTTTGGGATTATTTTTTTGGTATTTTGTCATGCTAGTCCATACCACTTTAAGGTATCGAGATATTCGTTCCTGCTAGGGTAGCGACAATCGAAAATTACTGTCGTTCTATACGTTATACATAGTGCCGGAAGTAATGGATGTTCACTTTGTAAAACGGTTTAGGTCACAGCTTTTGTGTTTGTCTACTTAGCTGGATGATTTTTTCGGCAAGCACATTACAAAATTTATGGGCAAAACATTTGAAGAAGCACGTAATTTTAACAATATTTTGTTATTTTTGCTCTAAAATGCCACGAACAACATTTTTCAAACTCATATCGATTCAGCAGGAACACCTTGGTTGAATTTTAAATGTGCGTCAAGCCACATAATTTTATTTTTTTTTTAAATTTTCAATGATAATATACACCAATTAAAAAATATAATAATTTTGAAGAACAATGTATACATACGATTTTTCAACATTTTTTATGATATTTTACTTCCAATGTTAACACCATCAGAAAACAAACAATTCAGTTTTTTTAGAGCTTAATTTGTTCCAAATTCAAATTAAATTACATTTCATTTTAACTTAGATGGAGCACCTACTATAGTAACTTACCAGCTTTAATCGTTTTGATATATATCTAAGTTTTTTTTACCTTGATCTTGCCTTGACAATTCACTTTTTAAACAGGTTTTTTTAAACTGCATGCCAGTGTAACAGTTGACATCTTAAGACTAAAAACTAAAACGAAATCTTTTCTAAATATAAAGGAAATTAACGCCCACATTCATCAGAATTACTTGTTAGCCTTCGCTTTAGCCTAATACTTCTTTGAAGCCGTGATTTTTGACACAAATGGAACCCAAAATGGAAATTTTTAAAGTACATAAGCGATTCAGTCAAGGGTCGTTTGGGGGTGGTCTGGTTTTGATCCCGAGTCATTTTATTAGTCACTAAAAATAATCCAGGTTGCTTGGTTATCCATTTGTATGGGCAGCCCTAAGTTTGCACCTTTAGAATTGATAAAACGATCCATAAAATATTGAAAAACGTTCAATTATCAACATCCAAATGATCCATAAAACATCTGAGAAAATCCCTAAAAAAGTGTGGATGATCCATAAAAATATCAATATTATCAATATTTTATGTGAAATTTAGCAACACAATTGTAAAAATGTACCACTAAATTTCTAAATAATGAGCATTGGAATTGTACGAATTACCCATAAACATATTGCAATTGATCCATAAAACATTCAGCAATGAACCTTAAACTAAACAAAGTGATCCATAAAAAATCATGTTTGCACACTTAAAAATATAGGCATGATCCATAAATTAGACGTACACTGGAGTCGCTTTTTACGCGGGTGATACGTCCCGCGTAAAAAAAAACCGCGTAAATTCCGGAATGCGCGTAAAAAAGCCGCGTAAATTCCGAAATCCGCGTAAAAAAAACCGCGTAAAAAAAGACCGTGTAAAAAAACCGCGTAAAAAGCGACTCTAGTGTATAACGATATACCGCTTTAATTCTGAAATCCGCGTAAAAAAAACCATAATCTTCGTAAAAACAACCGCGTAAATTCCGAAATCCACGTAAAAAAAACCGTGTAAATTCTGAAATCCGCGAAAAAAAAAACCTCGTAAGAAAGACCGTGTAAAAAAAACCGCGTAAAAGCGACTCCAGTGTGTATTATTCATGTTTAAGACACTATTTTTTAATAGTGTAGTGTAGTGTAGGAAATATTCGAAGCAAGCTGTTTCGAATCTTGTTGAGAGAAGCCTGGATTTTCCATTCGCGGCCGGTAACTTAGATGAATCTACAGCTGTTCTTAATAACGCTTTGAAAACGTGTACCAATCAACTAGTTGAGCAAAAGTTTGTTTCTTTGAAAAACTCGAACAGTTGGTACAATCTTGGATCTTTTGCGTCTTAAACGGAAAAGGGACAAATTGTACAAAAAGTTTTGTAGATCTAATAATGACAATCATTGGACTAGGTACACAATTGCGCGTAATAAGTATTCACAATCGATAAAGAAAACTCGTTGTGAATATGTTCAAAGGAAGATTGATCAGCATCAAAACAACAGCAAAGAGTTATGGAAAATTTTGAAATCTTTATTAAAACCTAGTAATTGCAAACCGCGGTCCATAACTTTTAATGGCACATTAGAACAGTCAGAACAAGTAATTGCAGCTAAGTTTAATGATTATTTCGTAGACAGTGTTTCATTGATTAATCAATCTATTGAATTGGTCGATGAACCTGACGAAATAAAACAGCCAGTTAATAGTAGTTGTAGATTTGAAGTTTTTCACCCAATCACATTAGATGAACTTAGAGTTATTTGTTTTTCATTAGGAAAATCGGCTGGAGTAGATAATGTTAATGCTAGAGTTATTCAAGATTGCTTTCATGTCATTGGCCACATCTTGCTGGACCTTATTAATGAATCATTACAAACTGGACATGTGCCACAAATTTGGAAGGAATCCTTAGTGGTCCCTATTCAAAAAGTTGCTGGAACGATTAAAGCCGAAGAGTTTCGTCCCATCAACATGTTGCACACATTAGAGAAAATTTTAGAACTTGTTGTTAAAGGTCAGCTGTTGGAGTATTTAAATAGTAATAGTTTGTTGGTACCAGAACAATCGGGATATCGGGAAGGTCATTCTTGTGAAACCGCGTTGAATTTGGTATTAGCGAAGTGGAAAAATAACTTGGAGTGTAAAGATACGATTGTTGCTGTTTTTTTGGATCTTAAACGCGCTTTTGAAACAATTTCTAGGCCCTTATTGTTAAGATCAATCAAGCGCTTTGGAATTACGAGTACTGCATATAAATGGTTTGAAAGCTATTTGTCTGACAGAACTCAACGGACTGTTTTTAATGATTCTGTTTCCAGTCCCGTGGGGAATACCCTTGGAGTGCCCCAGGGAAGTGTATTATTTATTATGTATATCAATGACTTGCGACGTGATTTACGATTTTGCGACATTAATCTTTTTGCAGATGATACTGTGTTATTCATTGCAGCTAAGGATTTAGATGATGCCGTTTTACACTTGAATGAAGATTTGCGTTCTCTAAGTAGATGGTTGAAGTATAAGCAGTTAAAATTGAATACAAGTAAAACTAAATTTATGGTAATTTCGCGGAATCGAGTAAATGAGAACGTTTCTGTTGTAATTGATGATGAGACTATTGATCGCGTTCGGGAGATTAAATATCTTGGCGTGATTATTGATGACACACTTAAGTTCAACTCTCACATTGACAATGTCATCGAGAAAATTGCCTAGAAGTATGGAATTCTATGTCGACTGAAAAACGATTTAACTATTGCCAGTAAAATACAGCTATATAAATCAATCATCTCTCCTCATCTTGACTTTTGCCCTTCCATTTTATTTCTGGCCAATGCAACACAAATATCGAGATTACAGCGCTTGCAGTATAAAATAATGCGTTTGATTTTGAGATGTAATAGATTCACTTCCTCAACTTTGATGTTAGACGCCTTACAATGGTTGTCGGTGAAGCAAAGAATTGTATATTTGACTATGGTGTTCATTTTTAAAGTAGTTAACGGTTTGCTGCCTCGATATTTGTGTGATCGAATTGAAAGAGGAAGTGACTTTCATAGATATAATACTAGAAACGCGGTTGAAATAAGAACACCACATTTCTTGACTTGTGCTTCACAAAATTCATTATATTATAAAGGAATAAATGTTTTCAATTCGATGCCTAGACATATCAAACGTTTAGCAACACTTACAGAATTTAAGAGACACTGAATTTCACACGTTTAAACTGTCTTTTGAACAGTTATCCAGTGATTTTTTTTTATGAACTGACAAATTATGTATCTTGACGAATCTCTAACGGATTATTTTATATGGATAGCTGTCATAACGACTTTTTAATAATCATTGTAGCTCTGCAAAAACTATTTCTGTTCGCCACGAGGGTGATGATGGATTTTTAAAATATGATTTTATAGTAGATTAATTTAAAAAAAAAAGTAGTCTACAAAGGTTTGAGCCTCGCGCGCGTATT